CACAGAAGATAAAAGACTGGTACGTCATGACCACTATTAATATTTTGATATGCCTCTCCTTGGTGGAATTACGGGTTTTTGTTTTTCCATTTTAAAGAAATTTTCCCAATTTTCCTGATGACTTAATGAATGATTTAATTTTAAGAAGTTGTTTGTTAGTTTTCTTGCTCACCTACCTTTCCTTTATGCCAGTACCTCACCTAAGAGCCATCCCCCACTACATATTACTTTGATTTCTGCAGATGTAAGATCAATAAATATCTTGACCCAAAGTAATCAAAACCAAGCCAAAAGAGCAAACAAAATCAGTATTTCGAGGAGCATTATGACTCGCTGGATTTAACCTGTGGCTGGAGAATCGTTTTACATTTCAGGCATCATGGAAGCTGCAAATGAAGGTCACTGTCAGTATCTGCCTTTTAAAAGTGATGGGAAGCAAATAGTCCGTTTAGCTTCTCGAAGATTCCCTCCTCTGAGGAGGAAGGAATAAAGTACAGAAGCAGCTCTGTGTCTGCCCTGCTGTGCAATCACCGAGGAGGGCACCTGCCTTGCAGGATGTTTACACAATGTCGAAACTGGAGGTGATCAAATCGGCCATCACAGAGCCACTGCCTTGCAAGGCATCGTGGTTCGTGGTTCGTGTTTCTCTGCGGAGCAGAAAGGAGCATTACAAGGAAAAAAAGGGGGGGGGAAGCAGGGTTTGAAAGACTCAGATTAAAATCCGAGTTCAGACAAGACTGAATTAACAAAATAGAAAATTAAAGGTGTTCTGAGAGATTATCCTGTGTAACCAGAATTCAGCTGGCTCCGAAATCCTTAGTGGATTTCTGGCTTAATCTCCGAAGCTCTAGGAACTTAGTGGGAAATCCACTTCCTGCCAGCAGTAATTTCAAGTAGTGTTTGCTTTGTGAGCCAGGCAAGTAACTTAACCTTCCTGAGTCTCAGTTTGTTATCTCTAAAACGGGCATAAAAATAGCACCTAACTCATAGAAGCAGCTGTGAGCAGGTCAATGATTTAGCACAATTATGTACAATGTTTAGAAAATAAAATAAGTCTGAGTTCTCCTAATAATCTATTTTTATATTATTAATGCACATTTGATCTCTTAAGGATGACAATGTTTTCAAATTAAGGATACATCTTTCATGAATTTCAGCCGTCCTCGGAGGAAATATAGCTTACAGGCGAGTCAAGCTTTTAAGATCTTACAAAACCATATCATCGCTATTTAATTATGACTGATAATCTGCTACGAAGTGCAGGAGGTTTAATTGTACAAAAGTTCCACTCTACCTGATGATGACCAGTCACCCTGGACTCAGAGCGATTAGCTGAAGTTTTTCACCCAGTCTTCACACAATTCTAATCATACGTGTTTGGTGTGTGTGCGTGTGCGTGAGTGTAAGGTGTGCATGAGGGGATATATTTAATTCTTCTAACTTTACTGGCTTCTGTAGAGACACTGCACTCAAATAATAATGCAAAAAAATGCAATGATTTTCTGAGACAATATTTCTCCAACGTTTGCCAGTCTTCTATTTCTTCTCTTCCCCTAGGAACAGGACATAGGTGGGTCTTAGCTTGCCAAAGGTATCAGGGGAACGTTTTATTTTCTGGATCTTCACCTAATATTGCTCCTCCCCTACTATTGGGGCCAAATCTTTTGAATTTCCTCTCCTCTCCCTAACCCACCTGACACTCAATCCTGAGGCAAGCCACCCAGGCGAGATAAAGTCCTTACATATTGTTGAATAAGTAGAAACAGTTTTCTGATCTGTTCAGGGTGCAACTGTCAAACACCAGCTCCAATCACAGGAGATATTAACCAGAGTGAGTCCAGAGACCCTCGAGAAAGTCAAGGGTGAGACTTGTCTCCTGCTGATTGCTGCTCGGGCATTTTTAAGCCACGCTGGCCCCAGGGGAGGCTTCGCAGTTTGACTGAGGAGGCTGCGTGGAAAACAAATATTTGATAAAATCACCTGTTTGGATAGAGCAGGTTGGACAATCATCTACGCACACACTTACACACACACAGTGACACAAACACTTCTGTTTTGTATGAAGACGGCATATATGAAAGGGCAAAATCATATGTGGGTATATATAAGCATATACATACACATTCATTCATTCATTCATTCATTCCTTTGTGTGTGTGTGTATCTATTTCTCCCCAGAACATTGCTTGCCCTGCTCCCACCTTCATACAAAGTAGAAAGCCCTGTGTGACTAAATCACAGGGAAACAGGTGAAAACAAACCCCAGGGCACCCTTCTAGCTGCATATTTCAGCCCCTCCAGTCTTCTCATAAGATACGGACTTTTTTCTCTTTCCTTAAT